TTTTCGGATACAACAATACATATATTTTCGTTGTCCTCTTATTACTGAGAGTAAAAACAAGAACAACATCTATTCCATACCTGAAGATGTCTGTAGGAACAGACGAAAGCTTGTAGTAAAATAAGAACTAATGCAACAGAAATTTATAAAAACAAGGATTTTTTCATTCATAACAGGTTCGGGGATTTTGTATATTATTTGAATTGTTCGCGACGATGGATTTCTCGCCAATTAAATCATTAACCTTTGTATTTGTTTTTGTATGAATAATTCATGAATATATATATATATATATATATATATATATATATATATATATATATATATATATATATATATATATATATATATACATCTATTAATTTTTTACATGTATGGTTAACTCTGTACAAGGCTTGGGGCCACCCGAGGTAGATGTTTACGATAAGGGTTAGTTTTTATGGATAGGGCAAGATAACATTGAACAGTTTAAAGTTGTAGTGATCGGGGAAACGTCTTCGAGGGACTCTGTGGAACAGAGTCCCTGGAAGACACATTAGTATGATCTTCAGCAACCACACGCGCGTGTGTCTGTGTGGGTGTGTTTCATTCGTTTTCTACGGCCTATGAAGATTATTTATAGCCTGAGAAAATTTTTTAGATTCTAAGACTTTTTGTGTGATAATAATGATTTAGTGATACAAATCTTACTAATTGACCCATAACTGGGGGGAAGAGGTGGGTTCATGTCTTTTCAAGTGGTATTTGCACTTAACCTAACTGGAATTTGAACATGAGTCTCTGTTTAATAATTACACCACGCGAGTATACAATTTTACAACAAAACATCACACTCTTTTGGTCCTGTCACTGGATCTAACTAACGCCTTTTATCCACTGTGCCATGTGTTGAAAAAGGCGTTAGTTAGATCCAGCGAGTCCACAGAGTCCCTTTCGCAGGAAGAAGCTGTTTGAATGGGATTAACTACTCACCAATTAAATACGGCGGGAATATAGGTGGTTTGCTACGATGTAAGTGGCATGGCGTGTCCTAGCCGTGAAGGTCAGATCTGGAGGAACCAGGAGATGCAGTTCGTCCGAGCACTTTTGATTGAAGTAGCGAGAGAGCATGGAGAAGCTCGCCACATCCCGCCTGTGAGAGAGAGTTTGGGGCGTGGGAAATGTCTTCTCTCCCACAAGGACTAGGAGACGCTTGTGAACACTATCACGACTGGAAAGTAAGGTCTGGGCAGCTGCTGTCCAAATATGGCAATAATACTCAATTTTCGGCCTGATTTGGCTCTTGTAAACGTTTAAGGATAGAATGAGGCGTCAGGTAATTACTAGAGCTGTACAGGGAGACGATTATTTTGTCTGCGTCTTTAGTGATAGATCGTATTTAGTAATTCCACTTGAGGTCGGGTGTGAGATTAAGGTCCAGTAACCTCTCGAATGACGGAGCCTCCACGAGAGGATATCCGTTCATCATGACAGGCGGTAGGTCGGGGTTTGATCGGCGGTGATAGAATTAACGTATAAGAAGAAAATATATGAAATAATTGCCGGACTTAATATTATTTTATATATATATATATATATATATATATATATATATATATATATATATATATATATATATATGTAAGCAAATATATGGATATAGATCTGACAGTATGAAGAAAATATACTGAAAAAAAAACAAAAATCTAATATGCGATTATGCTGTTTTAATGTTTTAATGTCATATTCGTAAAACGTTTCTTAGAGCATATACACCAACATGAAAAAGACATATTCATAAAACAATACCAATCATGTCGAATTGTATATATCTATTTAATTATGTTTTATGAATATGTCCTGAAGATGGACATTAGACCGAAACGTCCGACGTTGACATTAAAAACATTAAAATAATCGCATATTAGGATTTTTGTTTATTTTTTCAGTATATTTTTATTCATATATATATATATATATATATATATATATATATATATATATATATAATAATATATATATATATATATATACACGAGGTCTGTCTTAAAAGTAACGGGACTAGTTTCAAAAACAATTTATTTGGACGGTTTCCTCTTCAAAGTAACTCCCTAGAGTTTAATGCACTTCCTTCTCTGTCACGCTTCTATGCACTGCTTGAAGGATTATTCTTCGATGGCCCTCAGCTACGTTGTTATGGACCTCACGATGGTTTCCACGCCTTCAAACCGGGTCTCTTGATGACACTACCCCAACTTGATATTTGGGGTAAAGAAAAACCTCACATAGAGCAACATGAGTTGAATAGAGAGGTTGTTCCAGTACGGCGATATACTTCTCGGCCAAGAACTGCCAGATGCTCAGGACGTTGCGAGAAAGTGCATTGTCGTGGGGAAGCAACGACGATTTGTCCTGCTAGAACATGTGAACAAAATTGTAAAGGTTGCAAAACGCTAAGCTTTCAATTATATACTTCCGAGATATCACTCTTTCCCTCATAGCTCACGCAGTAGACCCAATCCCGTTTCTTTTCAGACACACCTCATATATATATATATATATATATATATATATATATATATATATATATATATATATATATATATATATATACTTACTTTCTCGTCAACATTTTTTTCCTTATTGCACTGCGGTATTTATGTTTTGGTGCAATGCCATTGTTTAGACGTCCCAGTAATCTTTTGATTTAATTTTTTCCTGTTCCGTTTACGATTTAGTGTTTTCTTTTTTCTCCACCATCTTTGAGTATTTTAATTTTCTTTCTGATTGGGCACAATTCAACGAGAGAAATAAACTCAAGAAAAAAAAAATCAATAGGCAAATTCCGTAAAGAACTGTCCTCCAGTTTTTGTTTGTCTCTTTACGATCAACACTAAACCTTTGATGCATCTGTGCGTTTGTGTGTATATATGTATATATATATATATATATATATATATATATATATACGCACACGTTAGGTAATGGAAAATTTATTAAAAATGTAATTTCAATTACAAACAGAGACTATCTAAACACAGACACACAAAAACATACAGAAAAATCTGCTGTAATGTTCTCAGTTTAACCAAGATGTTGTATACTATAAAAACTGCTTGTCGCCAAAGTGTTTTGAATGGCAAGGTTAATTTAGGGAGGCGCGATTTACTGTTTGCATACCATAATTAGTGTACATCAATTTCACGAAAAAAAAATTGTGATGGGTGCAAACACCTCTAGGCACTTTATTTGATATAGACCTGTATATGACTCCTGATGCTAAGTCATTTGGTCAGATTTTGGTAAGTGGGGGACGCTATTAGTTTTTAGCACCCCCTCATCTATTGATATGTGTGTTTAAATTTGTAAAGAGATTACATGTTTGTATACTAATGCACAAAACACAATTTTCGGCGCTATTGTCATTTCAAGAATTAAAAAAATATATATACTACAGATATTTTTCTAATACGACAAGACAAATTTGCCGAAATAAGGCGCACGTATGCAGAATTCTTAAAGGTTTTTGACCTGATATTTCCCAAAAGCTAACCAAAAATCCTACATTTGAATTTGCGCGGGAAATGTTTTCTTTTTGATCTCGATCACACATTAGTATGATCTTCAGCAACCACACGCGCGTGTGTCTGTGTGGGTGTGTTTCATTCGTTTTCTACGGCCTATGCAGATTATTTATAGCCTGAGAAAATTTTTAGATTCTAAGAATTTTTGTGTGATAATAATGATTTAGTGATACAAATCTTACTAATTGACCCATAACTGGGGGGAAGAGGTGGGTTCATGCCTTTTCAAGTGGTATTTGCACTTAACCTAACTGGAATTTGAACATGAGTCTCCGTTTAATAATTACACCACGCGAGTATACAATTTTACAACAAAACATCACATTTTTGGTCCTGTCATTGATTCTAACTAACGCCTTTTATCCACTGTGCCATGTGTTGAAAAAGGCGTTAGTTAGATCCAGCGACAGGACCCAAAGAGTGTGAGTTCAATACCCAGTTAAGGCAGTGGATAACTTTCAGAGGGAAATTAACAGGAGATAACTGATAACTGACATCCATTAAACATGACATGCGGAACTAGAACAGTCTACGCCAGTCAGCGAAATAAAGGTTTCAGTTCGACATTCCAACCACCTGAAGAAGGCCGGAGCGTACATCGGCCGAAACGTAGTAATAAATATGGCGACAAAAATAAGGACAATAGTCCAAATAATGTAAATAATGTACATAATACCTCATCTCAGAAATATACACACACACACACACACATATATATATATATATATGTGTGTGTGTGTGTATGCGTGTGTGTGTAGATGATTGCGTCTAACATGAAACAGCCTGTCGCCTCTGAGTGTTGACTTTAATGTTCACTTTTATATTTATATTTACATACGCTCTATCTCTGATATTGAGAACTTTATCCCATAAATATAGCACACTTTAAAACTATGTTTCTTCATATATATATATATATATATATATATATATATATATATATATAATGATGAAATGCGCTCATTCTAACCACATAGCGAGACGATCGAGTTCGAATCTCCACATGGTCAATTTGTCAGTTAAGTGATTTCTTGATAAATGATCATGGGCAGACCGTTCCAGCGTGCGCCACTGTTGGCAATCGCCCGGAAACAATGCCACACGTTCCCTCAATCCATATGAGTCAAACAGGGAAGGCATAACTGTTCGGAACCCCTCACTAGTTGTTCTAGCACGAAATCACAAGGCATCTGGACGGACGTATAGAGCGTACTAATCTTGTTCAGCCAGTGATAACGACGGATTGCATGCTCACTAGCAAAGACTGTAACGAAAACCTGCACAATCTTGTTGCAGTATGTATAAACCACAGATTGACAGTTGCTGACCCCCCCCCAAAAAAAAAACGTATGGGATTGAGCAGGTGTCTGTAACAGGGATTAGTTTCTCATTATAATAGACTCCAAATCTTCGGTGTGTGTGTATTGTGTGCCTTACCCTCGCTCAAGAAAGGCTAAAGCGAAGAAAAAATTCTTTGGAAAGGATGAGAGACAGAAAGAAGTGAGAGAGTGGCTAATATCGTCTAAGAAAAGATAATAGCTTGTTTGTGGATGCATGTCGAATTACCGTAATGGAGAGACGAAAAAAGTAAAAAAGACGGAAGGATACAAGTATACTCATAAAAAGAAGACAGAGAATATGATAGTGAGAAAAGTAGAGTAAGAAATATAGAGAGAGAGAGGGTGATGAAAAAAAAAATGAAATGTGCTGGCATGCGTCGATGACAAAATACAAAGCGAAAGAGAAAATAAAGGAAAGAGAGAGAGAGAGAGAGAGAGAGAGAGAGAGAGAGAGAGAGAGAGAAGACATACGGAGAGAGAAACCGACAGATGTTATGATACACAGGCAAACAAATCAATTACGAGAAACAGAAATTTCCGGAACCTAACATATTTTGATCAAAACTAACTCAATGAATAGAAGCTTGTTCATCTTTCAGATTCTTCGGCAGGCATATTGACTTTTCTTTGAAGATGTAAATGTAAATGTAACAACATCTGATGCATGAAATCTCACTTCCTGTTTTTTATCTGGACGCGGTAGGTAATAAGCAGTACTTTAGCCATAAAGTATCCCCACACTAGACACATGCATAAACTGATATTTGGACAGAATAATTAAAGTTCACCTTAATAATAAAGAAGGCGACATTAAGTTAAGACATTGTCGGTTGAATTTTAGAATTGTTTTTTTGAGAAGTTCACTCTGAACAAGGCTCAGTTGATATTGGGTTACAGATTAAGAATCACATTTTATGCGGATAGGTGGAGGATAAAACTGTTAACCGTAGACTTGAACAGGTTAAGATTCTAGGGTTCGGGGAAACATACTCTTGGGAGTAAATTCCACAGAGCAGTGGTTTGCTTGAAGAAGATTCTGGAGTGGAACTTATTTTCACTAAAAGAATACGGCGTGTGGATTGCTACAATGTGAGTGGTATGGAGGGTCCTAGCAAGGAAGGTTCGAACTGGCAGACCCAGTAAATGTAGTTCGTCCGAGCACTTTCCATCGAAGCAGCGATAGAGCAGTGAGTGGCCCGCTACACCCCGTCTGTTAGAGAGGGGTTGCAGAGTGGAAAATAATTTGCCATCCACATGGACGCGGAGATGTTTTTGAACTCAAGCTCCTGCCGACCTATGACAGCAATACGCCATTCTAGGCCTGATCTGGCACTTGTAAAGATTGAGGGTAGCACAAGAAGCCAGCTAATTAGTGGATCAGCACAGGGAACCTAACATTTTTCTGCATCATTAGCGATGGATCATTTGTACGTGTTCCACCTGAAACCTGGGGTGAGTTTAAGGCGTAGTAGACGCTGAAGCATGGGTCTCCCTGACAGAACATCCATTTATTGTGAAGCGTATTTCATTTTTGAGGCATTGAATATGACCAGCCAATTTTTACCTCACTGAGCTAGATCGAATGTGAGATCAGCTTCCAATCTCTGGCCATCCCTAGTTTGGTGTGTGGGGTGTACCTAATTATCGATGTACCGTCGGCATAGTGATCTGAGTATACACCCAGGTAGATCATTTATTTAAAGTAAAAATTGGGTTGATCCGAAACGTGAACTCTGGGGGCGTCTTGCGTTGATTGCTAGGGCTCCGGAGGATTGGCCAGTAACAACTACCTTCATGGAATGAATGTTGCCTTCCTGCGATTGCGCTGTAAATTAGCGTCGAAAAGGATCTATTGTCGCAGATAGAGCTATGTATTTATATTCCTTTCCATTTGATTTGATCTGGGTGTTCCAAATGCTAAAGGTAGATTTTATCAAAACTTGTTAACTAAATTGTAATTTAAATACTGTATTTGCAGTTTCTGCTTTTCCATAAGACAACAGCTCTGCGCTAAGTATTCTAAAAAAAAAAAAAAAATGTAACTTCCGCTACCTCACCAATGCGCTAAAAGAATTAAATCCAGAAGCACATCTATGTATCTGCAGTAATTTTGGAAAAAAGGACCCAGACACTTTGTGGAATAGTCCCTTTAAAAATACAACGTGGAATCGTATACAAATTATAGACACTAACTGAACTTTATGGTATATTCTTCCAATGTGAGTTGTTATAATAAATTTAACCTTTATATTCACTTTCGTTCAACCTACGAGGAAAAGTTTGTCTGCCATGTTTCTTTCTGTGTATATATCGACAATTATGACGGGAAGATTTTTAGCCTGTTTGAGCTTAACCGACCTACGTTATGAAAACTAGAGTCCGAATTAACCAGGAGGGTTGAAATATCTGGATACTTTTTTAACAGATTATGGTAAAGTTGAATTAAAATAGTAAAAAATGACGTATCAAAGATAAACAAATTATGAAGAAACCATAAAACGAGTTCTGGACAGCTATCTAATATGAATACTGGAGAAAATCTTCAAAGACTTAAGACAGCAAAGATGTGGTTCCACTGAAAGATGCTGAGAATACCACGGATGGAACGAGTTAATAACGAGGAAGTTTTTAGGAAAATGGAAACAAAAAGATAAATTAGAATCAGACTGTTGAAATATCTAGGACGCATAATGAGGAAAGAAGGTTTGGAAAATGTGACACTTACAAGAAATAGTAGAGGCAGAAGGACAAAAAAGAAACAGCGAGTAACCTACCTAACGAGCTTGTGAAAATGGATGGCAAAACAGGGAGTTGAGAGGAAAGTAAAAATACAAACCTTATTAGAATCTACAAAGGATAGGATGTTGTAGGGAGCCATGATCAGCTACATTCTGAAGGGACAAGGAATATTTAGTATCTATAGGAAATGTATGTAATGACTTCCACAGCATATATGAATAGGAAAATTTTACGAGTGTACGTTTTAATGATGTGGAACGTAATTAAGTCTAAACGACATGTTTTTTTTTTGTCATCCTCAGCTAATGGCGACGCTTTTCGACGTTGACATATATCTCTGATGATATTTGCCGTTGAAGAATGACCATCAGCATCTACATGTCACCATAACGTCGTTATACATTGCTGCACAAAAACACACATTGCAAATGGAAGATTACATAGAAAAAACATAAACGCAGAGCCAATCTTTTTTAGGTTTAAAATCTTTTCTCGCGAAAACATTTCTCACTCAGCTCCAAAGTGATAGACGCGTCTTATTACTATGAAATAACATCGGTTGCTCCCAAATTCGATTCTGATCTGAATACATACGGGCTTAAGTAAACTTCTTAAGCTTTTATTATTCTGGGGGTCATAGTGGGTCAATTGGACCCAATTAGTTATCAATGTTTCTTTCGGTTTTCGTGTTTCGATATTTTCTCTTCATTTTGTTTCATGTGAGTGCAATTTCTTTCTACCTTTAAGCGAAACTTGTCCTTTCGTTTTTCGGTCTTTATTCTGTTTTTTGTTTTTTTAATTTTATTCTTTTTACCTAATGTTTCCATGGCCAAAATCAATACGAATTCATCTATTTCTGTTTTCTTCTCTCTTTCTGTCCGTCGATTTACGACGATGCGAGAAATCTCTTTTCTTCCTCTTTATTTTTGTTTTATGATTTCACCTGTCAGTTTATGACAATTCCTGATAGTTACTTTCTTTTTCTGTTATTCCTTCACCTTTCATCTTCATTCGCTTTTTATTTTTAAAATCTTTTCTTTTCGTCCTCTATTCCATAATCCTGTCTTGTGGGCTGAAACTGCTTTTCTTATATATTTAATTTGTTTTCTTTTCCAGCAAGATAAGGAGATGTGCTATTTTTCTTTGTTTATAGGTGATCAGAACGAAGGTTTATTTGAGTCGAAAGGTAAGAATCTCTACGACGTGTGTCCAAGATGTGTGTCCTATCTAAATAACGCATTAGCCTCAAAAGGGCTAAAAGCCTAGTTTGCCTTCCTAGAGCCTGATACCAATAGAGGCGTTGTAGAACGTACTCGATAATCCACATTCTAAATTCGAAACCTCTGGGTGGGTAAATGCTTCGCTAATTATTGAAAATTGAAACAACGAGAACAGAAATACCCTTCGTTCATATTTTCCTGTTGAATGATCCTGAGTTAATTATCTTCCGAAGTTTAGTGAATTTCACAAAACCAATGGACAGTTTGTTTGTTCATGGAGTCATCTTTGATGTTCATGTTGCGTAATGGTTAGTCATCCAAACGAGAAATAGCCGAGTTCGATTTCTAGCGTAGTACGATGTATCCACTTTCTCACAGATACCATCGGAAAACGTATGAATCCAGCTGTTTCTCCCAGTTATCAGTTAAATAGCAGAGAAGACTGGCTCTGGAGCTGTGTTTGGTTATCCGATTAGAAAAAGAATAAATTTGTGAATCGGGTGATAAGTGATCATATCTACTCATATTGGGGAGAAAAATAAATAATTAACAAATAAAATTACAGAGTTAAGACGGAGACGTTAGAAGTATAGAGCGGAAGTAGATTTTAAAAGGAACCGGAAAAACATTCCTAAACATGAAACAAAAGATAAACATCTATTACTTTTCAAAAGACTGGGGAGGTGTATAAACCGTATGATAGGCGAACTTGTATACTCTTACTGAGAGAAAAAATAACAGAAAATAAAATTACAGAGTTAAAACGAAGACGTTGTGTTATATCTCATCTTCGTCGCCAACTGTTATATCTCGTCGCCAGTCGTTATATCTCGCAAAAAGATATAATAACAAAGTAAACCCGAGTGGTGGTTTAAATAATAATACTTTATATCGGAATGTAGGAATGTCAAAATACAGAGACAGAGTAGGAGTAAGCTAACCGCAATGGTGTAGTCAACGAAGACCTTTGTTGTCGCTCTGTTGATCCTCTCGACTGTTTACTGTGGTCGAACTTTATCGGCCACCGGAACGTCCATTTATGGTGAATGGGGAAGTCAGGTTATTTCATCACAACACGTTGTCTATAAAAAACTACAAAGGATAGAAGGAAAAGTAAAGATAAAATTAAGAATTGGCCTTTGTTCAAACACTTAGTTTCTTTGCATTTATAATCGTTTGAATATAATCAAAACTTGCCTATTTTTAATACTTTGTTTTAGATGGTCAGTTCAGGATAGTTGGTTATTTCTGTTTCTTTTTTGGTGGAAAAGTCACTGTAATTCTGTTGAAATGAATCTTATATGCGACAATTTTAACCTGACACATTTTTTCCAAAAAATGCCAAATGAATTTTGTGGCCCTACTAGTGCAAATTAAGAGAATCTCTTTAATCTGATAAAACATCTCTGAATCGTGGATGATTTAGATCAAAGAAATTCTTGAATGTGGTCGGATGACCTGACCAGTGGAGGTCTTCATCTGAGCTTTCGTTTGTGGCACCCCAATTAAG